TCTCAGACGGGGCGGCGGCGCGGGTGGAGAGGAGGGGCGGAAGAGAAGGAAGCGCGCTCCGTAGTTGCCGCGTCGGTCCCAAAAGCCTGGAGAATGAAGCGAGGAGGATAGGTCTCACTTTCTCCTCTCCAGCAGAGCCGAGTCCCTCTGCAGAAGCTGCTGAATGAATCGTTCGTGCTCTTTAGCCCCCCTCCGGCGGTCTGTTACCCTGCTTTTGGCCCCTGGTCTGCTTCAACCAGAGCGCAAGTCCGGCTTTTGTTTCACCGCCCGAGCTCCCCTCAAACTGCCGAGTGCCAAAGAAGCCGTTTAGGCGGTAGCAGCTGAAGGGAGCTTCTCTCACGGAGCCAGATCTGCAGCAGGAGCAGTTGCCAGCCCCTCCCGCGCCCCTTCTCCAGGGTCAGTGCACAGCCCATGTTCTGCTCTGCCTTAATTGGATAAAATGGGAGGGGGACGCTCCCTCCGGGCCTCTCCTCTGCAGCTTTTCCTCTCTTGCACAAGAAATTTGGCACGAGAAGGCGCGCAGCGGATCAATTCGGCCCCAGGTAATTCAGTAGCAAAGGACCTCAGGCGTGAGCTGATGCTGCGATCACCGCTCGCTATCCAACCAGCGGATAACTTTGATGTTTCCAGATGGCCAAATTGACGGGCTTCTCCCTCTTAAAGGCGCCGACAGGCTATAAATGCCGCTGGAAGATTTGCGGCAGCCGTGGTCAGAAGCCCGGTCAGTTACTCGAAGAGTTGCAATTGGCCGCCAGGGGTCGCTCTCCTGATCGCTCTCCTAATCTGAATGAGAAATTTCCCAGATTAAAAAAGAGTCGGCGTTGGGGCCCGTTTTTCGCGTCAGCTACTTCTCTCGCGGATGCTTCAAAAGTCAGTAATGTTCCAGTTCCCAAATGGAAATTCCTGTATATGCACTTCTACAGGCTTCCAGGAGCTATGGAGAGAGTCCTGAAATGCACTCAGAACATCTCCCCCCATTACTTGGATTAAAGTCTATAATGTTGGTTTGGACACATAAAATCACAAAGCCATATTATTATGCCAGCCAGGCCTCTTTCTGGATCTAAAGAAAGGGTATCTGAGGTTCATCTGTGTTTTTTTAACAGATTACTATATTTATAGATCAGAAGATGATTTCCTATCTCAGGGGCCATGTAGCTTTAGAGTTTGCTTAGTTTGAAATTGGAGAATCTCACTAAACCCATTTCCTTCTTCCTACAATTTAACAAGCGTGTGAGGATTGCTTTTCCTGTGATCTTAACTGAACCCTACAGTGTATACAGTCAACATGGGAAACAGATTTCTGTTCCCTCAACATCCTCACGAAGCCTGTATTTTTTGTCTTAGATCTGAAACAGTACTCCATTTTATTCCATCTCACGAAATAAAAACCGCACAGTCAGGGTCTAGAGAAGAAAACATTCTTGCATGCTGTATCCCACACCATAAAAGAAAAGCAAAACTGTTCAAACTTTTTCATGGCTACCTCTTACCTAATGAATCATGGAATGGTGGGGACCTTGGAGATTAACTCACTGTCCAGTGTCAGAATCCGTTATTACTCCCAAATAAATGCACATAGGTTTTTAGCTGCATTTATACATAATACTGCCAGATAAAAAGGGTAAGGTGAAGACCATGTCCTTCTGCTATGCAATCAGCTGAAGTTCTAACTGGTTAAGCTGACAGATACAATCTACAAATTGAGTGAATTTTCAAGTTTACAACAATGTCCAAGACTCCATTACAAAAAGTAGTGGTATGGGGGAAGATGAATAAGAATACACCCAGAAGTTTATATTTTCCATCCTCCATCGCATTCTAGCTTGCAAAATGGCAATGCCTAACTTGACTGAAATTCAGGACTTTAGGAGAAAGTATTAAATGGTTTATGAACAAGTGCTCCTCTCTTTGTGATTACATTTGTGTATACTTTTGATACACTTAGTTTCAGACAGTCAAAAGTACTTCTTCCAGAAAAAGTGTCTAGACCTCTTAGTCACAGATATCTTGATATATCTTGCCTGAGTGAAGGGGAAGAAAGGGGCATGCATGAGTTTGTACAACACCAGAGAAAAAGAGAGAGGGAGAGAGTCTACTTATGTCAAGTAAACCATATCCCTAACAGATTCTGAGAACTCAATTATAACTGCAGTTCAGCATCTCTTACTTCACCATCCTGCCTCTAGCTGGGATATTTAGAAGTTTCTAGCTCCAAAGGTTTTGAATGCAAATTGCTTTTCTAACAAGGCATTATTTATTCCAACTGGAAAAAAGGACATATTGTGTATACATGAATTTTTCCCACTCTTGCAATGCAAATTTTATTTCCATTCTCCCATTCTACTTTTCTATCACATCACTGCTTCCTTGCTGTTGGATTACTCAAGGTACCCTTATATCCTCACTTACTCTACTCTCCTGGAGTACACAAACAATCATTATTTGCATGTTTTTTCATCCCTGCTGCAGACTTGGATGTAACATAACCATCACAGCAGTAGACAGTCTAATGTCAATGTCTGTGCTCCTTTTCCAAACATATTCTAACTACACCTACCTCATGATTACAATATCCACCACCCTACCCTCACCCTCACCCTCAAATCTACGTTTTGCAACAGCATGCCTAATGCAGAGTCCAATGAACTTGAAAATGTACATAATTTTGTCACCTTCCAATTAATCTAATGAGGAATTGTCCTAACTGGAATTATTCTTTGGTTTTTCACTCATACCATAACTAAATTGGATATCTGAATTGTGTTCCATTTGTTAAGTCACCACTGATGCATATTGGTGTAGAATAAAAGGATTAATCCTTTCTCCCACATTTTTACTCCAGTGTAGTTGGAGAACTCTGGAGATGCTTTTAGGAAAGAAAAATATATCAGGAGCTCCAATCACATCTCTTTCTTATAATGTACTGTTTGGCCATAAATTAAAATTCTAAAATTTAAAATTAGAATTTTAATTTGAACTTAAAGTTAAGATTGTCCTAAACATACTTAGTTGGAGGTAAATCTTATTGATGCCAGGAGAGCTAATTTTTCAATACATGCATCTGTTTGGGAAGGCTTAATGTAGACTTTTCCTTCCCAGAACCTAGTTAACTTATTTTTCTTCCTTCTCCTGATACTTTTCTGGTCAGACAGCAGTCTTATACATGATCAGGTAGTAGGGTGTTCCATGTGTGTCTGTCTGTCTATCTATCTATCTATAATCTTTGTTGCAAACAAAATGAAATTTTGCATGAGATCCATACATAGTAATGCCAATAACATATGAAGTTTGTCTTTTAAAAGCTTGTCTCTGACTTCATTATTATTAGATTTTTATCCTGCCTTTGTATTCTGTGTGTGTGTGTGAGAGAGAGAGAGAGAGAGAGAGAGTCAACTCAAGGCAGCAAAATATCTAATACTCCTGCCTCCTATTTTCCCCATGACAACCCTGTGAGGTGGGTTGGGCTGTGAGAGAGTGACTGGCCCAAAGTCACCCAGCCAGCTTTCATGCCTAAGGGAGGCCTAGAACTCCGAGTTCCCTGGTTTCTAGGCCAGCACCTTCACTATTACACCAAACTGTTTCTCTTTATTGCATATGGTAATAGTAAGTACTTCAGGATGCTGTAAGAGTTCCATTTGACCAATACCCAAATATCTCACATTGCAGTCAAGAGAATTTGCTATAGCACTATCAATCATACATTAAAAAATAGATTGGAACCACAACATTTGGAAAATAATTGAGGTAGAATTTTGGGATTGTGTTGAAAATTTAAACCAATTTGATAGGAAAAGAGAAGATTACTTTAGGCTTCCAAACATGAATTTGTGCTATACCTTGATAGAGACTGAACTGAACTATGTTGTAGAAGGAAATAATTGCACTATTCCAGTAACTTCAGTTATGCCAATTTGCTGAATTGTGGTAGCTTGAAAAAGCCTTACTAAAATTATTTTGTCATTGTTTTACACTATTTGGGTGTGCTAAAAATAATGCCGTCTGCTATAAGCACTTGTGCTTACAAGCTCCACTACAACTACAGGAGGAAAAAATTCTAAATATAATATATGTTAAAACAATAATTTTAAAAGTATTGGAGAGAACCATTTTAGATAAGATTCCAAATCACATAAAGTTAATGTCAAGTAATCAAATATTTGCACAGAATTAGAAGGAGCCATTTAGATCACCTAGTCTAACAACCTCTTAAATGCTTGAATTCAAATTAAAGCAGCTCAGGCAATAGCTGGTCATTCTTTGCTTGACCAGTCCAGGGAAGAATAATTGGTATCTATGCATTTGCTCTTACTGGTAGGATTTTTTTCCCTTAACATTCAATCAGAAACTGCCTTCTAATAACTATATCCGTTTTTCTGTGTCTTGCAAACCAAACAAACTTTGGTGGGTTAAACAGTAAAGGACTCAGGAGTAAACCATATAGCAGCCCACTCAATAACTCTCTCCAGCGTGATGAAGAACCATTGATTAGCACTTTTGTATTCATTTTTCATGTTCTATTTTCTTCTCAGATCA